GTTAGTTATGCGGCTGCCCACTTCAAGATCAAAGTTAGGGAATAATTAGTTTTGTTTATTAAAGTATCTTGATGATTACTATCACATGTACTTACTAGAAAAACTTTACCTATAGAATCATTAATTTTGGACAATCAGTTTATATTCAACTCTAAACACTTATTACACAATATATGACGTTAATTGTTTTTAATGATGACGAAGTCCGTGAGTTTTTTAAAACTTTCACACTGTTTCGATGGCAATAAATAAATAAAGTCCACTCCATCCATGATTTAGGAATCTTTGTGTATGTTGTTGTTGTTGTTGTTGATGATGATGCATTTGTTGTTATTGTCTTTGTTGTTGTTGTTGATGATGATGTTACCTGTGTTGTTTTTGTCTTTGTTGTTGTTGTCGTAGTCTCTGTCGTAGTTTGTCAGTCTCTTTTGGGATTATTGAACGGTACTTGAACGTCGAACTAAACAACCCGGCTGCTTTTGGAATTGCTCTTAATTTTAGCTTTTGCTAACTCCCCGATAATATTATAGAGCGGTATACTTAGAATCGTTTGCCCGATTTGTAAGGCTCGAAAAATACGTTACGTGTAAGCTTTTAATATAATGATATCATAACCTTTCCTTGATGACGTTTGCTTTCGATATCGTTGGAGTCGTGTCATTACATAGCAACTAATACTTGCTCACCATAGTGTTATAAAGCATCTACTATCCATCGCCAATTATCAGCTACTTTAAAAAAGGTTCGTTTTCCCAATGTTTATTGAAAATATCGGCAATGTTTATAGTCACTCAGATTAACTTATCTTAAGTCAATGCGAATATCAAATATTCAGATTGCTTACATATCGAAATTTCTTTACATAGTCGTAAAAGCAGCCACTAAGCACCCACTATTTAAATGGATGTTTATTTTTTCAGTAATCTGTCATACGATCGACTTTGACAACGTCGACATTGTGTTTTTAGTGTCTGTGAACTCTTATCATTTATTTGAAAGCAACAACTTAACTTATAAGTTAAGATTATAAGTTAACTAAGTCAACTTAGTTCTATTTCAAACTAGTAGACTCTTATGTCATCATTAATTGCAAAAAATTTTATAGCAGATCCAATAAATCAGAATAGATCCATCATGTCTAAATAAACGAAATCACAAAACTGTTTTAAGAAAAACAAACACTGCTTTTGAAACATGTTATATGCCAGTTGTGTGCTTCAAAAGCTTTTTTTTTTAAATAGTTTAGTGATTTCGTCTATAAACAAAATTTCATTCTTGTAGACATAAAATTCTTTTTCTTCTTGTCTACTCCTTTTTTAGACGTATTTTCCTTAAGAAGACTCGTAACTCTTAACCTAAAACGATGATTAGTGCATTTAATTTACTCTTAACATTTTCTTTGATTGAAGAAAACGACGGAGGTCCGCATAAGACATGTCTTCGATTAAAATATTAAAGTTATATTAAATATTAGTTATTATATCAGAACAATAACTTAAAAAACAATATTTCTTTCTAAATAAATATTTGCAGTTAACTACATATTGAGTTTCTATTTAAGTTCTTTTCTATATCAATGATAATGTAGCCATCAACACTCACCAAGTGTACGCTTAAATCTTCATATAAATCTGTCTCAATAAATTTGATTAATGCAGACGTTCAATCATTATTTCTCATTTTTTAATTATTTTTAAGATTTGGTGGATAAGCAATCAGAACTCCTCTAAAATTCAAGCATCATAAACGAAATCAAATTGTAAATTGAATCCTCCAACATTTTAATGACAGCTTGTTTCTTTGCTTTGCAGTATCTTCTGTATTATTCTTTCCGTTTTTAATTTATTTTTATTTTTAATTTTATGTACTCTAAGCAAACATTAAACAGGAAATTGATTTTCTGTCACCAAAAAAATAAATTAACTCGCATGCAAGCAATGCTACTTCACTTCCGTAAGAGCGATAAGATGAGCTCCGCACGGTTCGGCGTGTTCGATGAATGCCCAATTCCATCTTCGCCCCAACACATTCATCAATAAAACTCAAAACGGAAGATGCACGAATACTTCATTAGCGCATAATAATCACAACACATCCGCGCTTACACAACCGCATAATTGTGTCAAAGGCATGAATACGAATACGAATGCGGATGCGGATGCGAATCTTGCATGTACCATGTGCCATGTGCCATGTGCCTGTGTACCCTGTATACCCTGTACTGTATACCCTTGCATATGTGCGCTCCGGCGAACGCATCAAAAATTGAAAATTGAAATTGAAACGAGTAGATATAAAGCTGGCAAAAAAAATTGTATGGAGACAAAAATTAATGAGGTCCTTTGAGTTCAATATAAAATTGGAATTGGCACCGCTTTAGCTTCCGTCAATGCTTGTTTTGCTTCCTATACAATTTTTTTTTTCATCTCTCTCTTCCATTGGCTATATAGGAAGCCACTGATTAAGGATTAGAACGTTTGTATTGCTACATTTCAAATTCTCTTGTTTGCATATCTTTTGGACTGGATGGCAACATAGATTTAGCATGGGCTTCAGGCATATTTAACTGATTTCAGTCTCTATAGGAAGTTGTAAACTTTGTCGCTGATATTGATGTCGATTTTGCTTAACAAGAGGATTTGCTGTTGATTTACTTGCCTATGATTTCGATTGAGAAAAGACTTATTCACATGTAAAATTTCATAAGCCTTAATTTTCCGCAATTAGTGGTATGTGTAATGAAATTGCCAAGCGCATTAAATTCCATGTTAAGACTCATTATGCGTTTATAACTGCATTTTATTGTAAGTGATAAGTGCATTTAACACATGCAAAATTGAAATATTTAATAATATTTTTCAATTACTGCAGATACCGGCAGGCACTTAAAAAATCCTTTCAACAACGCCTTTACTGGGACGATAATTACTTTAATTATTCGAGAGCACTTAATAACGATTTTATACAAAGGGAAGAAATGTTAGAGTATGGAGCAAAAAATCCATTTAATTTTTAATAAGAGAATTTTTTCTTTTCAATAGAAACGGTTAAAAAGCGATTGAGGTGGAAATTATGAGTAATAATGTTAAAAAAGTTTAGTATTACTTCCCATATTTTAGTTTCTTTTATTGTTTTTATTTAAAAAAAATCAAATTATGATTTAGTTAATGATTTAGTTTTTAAATATCGTTAAAAATGCTTATTAGTTAGCAGTCTCTTATCTGCAAAGATACCGAAAGTAGTTTGGAACAATTCTTGTTAAGTGCCTTATTAAAAATAAATTGATAATATACGATCAATTTATACTATACGAAGTTCGCAACTTCCAATACACACTAAAATCAGTTAAAAATGCACAAATCCCAAGCTCAATCTATGTTCAAAGTATTTATTTGCTTCTTCTCAATACTTCTTCTCAATCCAGGATATTTTATTTACTTACAAAATGCCCCAAATCCGATATAGTCATCATAATCGTGATTGAGCGCAATTTTTTTGATAGAGACTAGTGACTACTCTTCTCTATCTCTTAAAACACCTACTTATATATCTAGTACTTTTTGAACCATTCTGAAACAATAATAAAAAACTTTCATTTTTTAATAGATCTCTTCAGAGTTCATATAAAATAAGAACTTCTTATAACAGTTATTCGTTATTGTCTGCATTTCACAGATTTGCATATTGTATTTGCAAGTAGTTTTAAAATATCAATTCTAATTATTGTTCTCTAGAAGGTAAGATTCAATAAACATTAATAACAATACACATTAGTTAAGATTTGAGTGCTTGTTCCGAAATAGTATCTTACCCTAACGATATCTTATCGGCAATACTTGAGCTTCGGATATCGAAAAGAACGCTAAGAATTTTTCTAGACAGGATTTGTTGGATCTTGAGAGTTAGAATACCACAACGTACACAATGGCTTGAATATCTGAGGATTGAGACGATTGAGAGTTTAATACTTGAGTTTCGGTATTATCTATGAAGCGTAGAATATCACTGCAAGAATCAAGGCCTAACTGTTTAGGATGTGCATATTTGAGAGTTAATACTAAGTTTTTGGATAACGAACACCACGGCTTAAATTCCAATATCATAGACGTTTAAGAATGTAACACTAAAGTTTTGAGTATCGCATTAAATATGAGTACTTCATTTCTTCGATAAAGATTCAATTGTGGATATCGTATTGATTACCAAGATTTTATTCCTCGGCTATAGTTTTAACTGGGAATATCAAATCGAGCAGTACAATTGATTCTTAGATATTTTTTAAGTTAGTTAGTAGAAAAAAGTAGATGGTTAAATATTAATAATGGTTTAAGTAATGCACTACACAGTTATATATAGATAGATGTTAATACTCTAGTTGATACTCTAGGATCTATTGTACCTGGTTTTTATTGTATCTGTAATACATTATATTAGTATAATAATTTTTCATTCTAAAGTGTTCAAAATATTTTAACTTCATGGGTTCTACTCATTATGAAATCATCTTGAAAATATTTGAAAAAATAAACTGAGGTATGAGTTAGATAGGAAAAATTGCCGGACGTATGAGTTATAAAAGGTATTAAAACTGGCTTTGTTCATTTAACTGCGAACAAATTTAGTAAAAACTCAAAAGGTAAGTGTGCATAATTAGGGAAGGGAGTGCGGTAACGTAAAAGAACACCCACATAAATACACAAAAATTCGGAACATATTAGCATGAGTGGAATGATTTTCAGTTTTTATGCAAATGTGATTTGATTATATTTTCGTATGTCAGTGTGTGGGGATGTATCTATGTGAGTTGATTTGCATAATGCGCAACAGAATGCACGCAACTGGTTACATTTCAGTTTGAAGTACTGCAGGCGTGCATTTGAGTGCTCGTCTACTTCACTGCAGTTGAGTTGCAAATGCGTTTTTTTTATTTTCCACATATGCATGGGCTAAAACGTTGAACAATTCATTTAAGTTTTTATTGTTGTTTCTTCTCATTGCAGATCCTTATGTAGTTGCCTGGAAACGTGGCATAGCTATACTTACAGCTGGCTCAGTTAAGGTCACACCGGATCCACGTGTACGTCTATCTAACAGATTCAATTTACAAATACGCGATGCTGTGCCACAGGATGCTGGAGATTATATATGCCAAATTGCAACAATGGAACCACGTGAAATTACACACACTGTTGAAATTTTGGGTAAGTTAGCCAAAGGACATAAACCAAATAATTTTAATATATTTATGAGCACGTATAGATAAATTTTTAAAAGGCTTTCGAATAAATGTGAATATGAAAAAATTAATACATTTATAATAGAATTTATATTTAAGCGTGTATGTTTCCACAATTTAGAGATAATACTAATTTAGGCTATGTTTTTTTTTATCAATTTTTTTAACTCGATTTTTCATTCTAAGTTGCCTTAGGGAAAGTATTTTTTCCTTCGGGTGTTTCACAATCTGATTGACTCTAATGCTATTTTAGACGCAATTTTAATTTTATTTTTGTATTCTCTGGCCATTGTATTTGCATAAAATAACGCATTTTTATTAAATGCTACTTATAATTCATATTTGCCTCGAAACTGCTTCATCAGTTAATTTGAAAAGATTTTTAATTTATGCGAAAATTACCCCCTGCAATCTAAATTTTTGCTGCATAATTTGCTATATACTTTGGGGCTTATGATTGAAAACTAATCTGCCATGATTTTCATAAATTATGCAGAAATATTTCACGTCAATTAATGTATCTCGAAATGTGCTCAAAATCACGGTTTGACAAATTCGTTTTAATTACGCTGCATTTGGCTGGGCGTTCAATTTAATTTATAAAAACAATTTTGCTGCCCATAAATTAGTCGAAATTGCTTCATTTTATTTACTTTTAATAGGCTTAAGGGAGATTTTTCCATTTTTGATAAAAGCTTTATTTGATTTACAATTAGATTATAGCAAATGTGTTTCAAAATATGTTCTTTCAACGTGAAAATATTCTAATTTGAATGCTCGTTCAATATAAAGTAGTTATCAATATATGCTTTTAATATTGTATAAAATAATTTAGAGTTTTTATTTCTATTTAATAATGTTGCAAATTAAATTTTTTAATTTAAATATATTAATATTTTATTATATATATGTTAGTGCTTAAATTTCTATCAGGAAAAGATCCGCAAGTAATTAAGTTTTTCTATTTTGCCTTGAAATATCCAACAATATATAACATGGAAAGTTTAAATTAAACAATTAAAGAAAAAATTATAAAAATTTAAATAATACTTAAAAAAGTTTCACAATAAGACATAAAATAATATTGATTCCCAGTTTCACAGTTTTGAATTAACATAATTGGCCCACAATTGGCTCAGAGCTAAGAAATGGCAAGTAAATGCACAAATATCCATACACAAGACGTTTACGACTTCCAAATATCAATGCCCTCCTAAACGCTGAGTTGCTACGGACAGACGACAACACTAAATAAAATATCTTGGCATACAATTTATTAGGGCACGAACATCGAAGAAACATATATTTATCAAAAGAAAGCAACTTCGTCTTCAACATTTCAAGTTCACACTTGACAACAGCCCATAGTTAGTTACTTAGTTAAGGTGGAGAGAGGACGAATCCTCTTCAATAAGCTATGAATCCAAAAAAAACCTCGTAATAGCGGGTAGTAGATAGAAGGTCAAACTAGAACTAGCCAGAGGGATTAACAAAGGCAAGAATCTGGCTAATGCTAATACTGGAGATTTCATCAAGTGAATTAAAGAAGGGGGCCGCTAGAAACTTAAACCTAGTTCTGGCCAAACCTGGACAAAAACACATCAGGTGTTCTAGTGTCATTTCCTCAAGAGCTGGTAGAACAACAACCCATATAGCCGCATGATCTTTAATTATAAGGCCCACCCAGCTCATTTAGAGTTCCGATAATTCAACGATTTTAATCTTCTAAAACACTTGGAATCATAACAAATGCTTCTTGCTATGTTTTTAATTATACATATTATCATGGTCTTAGAATGGCTATAATAGTAGAATAACTTGAGAGATATAACACTTTCTATACATTTCGCTTTCAGTTTCGCCCGAACTCATTCGCAACTGAATTTCTACAACCTTTAATCTGTTGACAAATCTACAGATTCGGTTACAAAAATTTCAGCCCATATGTTTGCAAGTCAAGAAAATGAAAGAGACCAAAAGATAAAAGAAAACGTCGTCTATAGTTGCTTCCAATTTTTAAATTTAAACAACTGTCAGTATTGCTCAATATCTTAACATAATCCAAAAAAAAATTGAGCAATTAAAAATAAAACGAAAAAGAAAAATTATGTTTAATGTGGACCCTATAATTATAGATATCCCATTTGAAAACCATGAAAAAATAATCTGTTGTCATATTTTTAGGACTTAAAATTCGAATAATATATGACAGAATCAAATCCTTTCTTTTACAGCATCTGGAAATGTCTATATACCAGAAGAATTCCTTCCAAAGCAAATAAACAACTAACATTCAAACAAGTTAACAAATATAGGACTTGCAATAATTTTACGAGGAGTGTCATACGGAACTCATATACATATCTTCGTATTTTTTTCCATAATCTTGACCAAAATATAAAGCCTCTACCTCTACCACTCTACCACAATAGTTCAAGTCCCTAAAAAAAAATTGAGCTTATTGAACTATGTAGTATTAGGACATCAGCATTGTGGATTACACTTTGCGGTTCTCGTCCTCTTAATGCATTAGCATAATCGATCATTTATCTTTTTAGTTAAAACTAAGTACAAGTATAATTTAATATAAATATATTTTTAAGGATTCATACGTAATTCATTAAAAAAAAAAAACAAATCCGGATGTCAGATTTATTTGTCGTAGAGCAATCAGTCAAATTCCTATTCCTCCAGAATATTTTTACAATAAAACAATAATAATATTCATACATCAAATTTACGTTATTGAACCAATACACAAGTCAATTATATTCGTAATTTACCTGAAACCAAATGAGAATTGCAATGTGCTTAAAATGTCTATGTCAACATTATAATTCTTAATTAGTTCTAATATACATTGCAATAAAAATAGTATTATTAATGTTCAAATGCTGAATTTATTTTAATACAAATTATGAAAATGTTTTAGACTTCATTTTTCTGTTTTATCCTCAAATTAAGGTCGTGTGCGAGTTAGGCTAAGTTGCGTTCTAAATGAGGGAAATTCTAAGATGAGCCGATAATGTAGTGATGTGTCGATACGTGTTGATAAATGGCTAAAAGTGTGCAGTGCAAAAAATCCCAAAAAATCTCCCATTTGGTTTAGCATCAACTTAGCCTAACTCGCACACGTCCTAAATGGGTTTTATATATCGTTTCGTTTTAAATCAAATTGAAATACTGAATATGGTCCTAAAAATTTTTTTATGCTAATGAAATGAAATTCATATGTAAATAACCTTTGATAGGGAGCTATTGAAATTCTAGAAGACTCACACACACAGACACTATAATATTTTATACAACAATTAAAGAAAAAAAAAAGCATAATTTACTATTCTACTGCATTATCTCAAAAATAGAGGAATGTTAAATAAATAGGTGTTACATCTGCTATATAAAGTATTAAACTAATTAATGATATACCATTATACATATCGAATTTGTTTTTGGAATCCATTTGAAAACAAACGAGAATTGCAATTTACTTAATATTTATACGTCAACCTTATAATTCTCAATTAGTTTAATAGATATTGCCTCTATAGGAGTGCAATTAATCTTAGTATAACGAACTTATTTTAATATTAATTGTAATGATGCTTTGGGTAATATTTATAATTAAGCAAATATTTGAGTATAACTGATTTTGTGTCCCTCTTTTTTTCCGTTTCTTTATTTCTATTTCTTTCTTTCTCTTATGCCAATTTCAAATTAAACTCTCATTTATTGAATTTTTATGCAGTGCATAATAATTCATAAGCAACTGTAAAGAGCTATCAAAATTGCTAAAGTCCATGTAGACTTATTCATATGCAAATTAAAATCTATAATACTGGTATAGGGGACCAAATATTTACGAATTAAAAAAAAGGCGAAGATTTTTTGTAGTTCAGCTATAATTTATATGTGCAGAAGATGAGTCTTTTATTTATTTTTTTTCTTTTTAATATTGTTTAGGGATTTAAGTATTGAATTGGTTATTTTATGACTGCTTCCATAGCTAAAATTATCATATCAATATAAGTTTATCCTTGATAGTCTCACAGAGATATGATAAAGTAAAAAAGTATATAAAATGAGCTGCCATAAATATGCTAAACAGCTCTTTGGCCATTTGTTTCAATTGTTGTTGTTGTTGTTGTTGTGGTCCTTGCTACAAAAAAAAAACACTAAATGATGGCAATATAAAATGCTAAAGTATGGTGAAGATAAGTTCTAAATATGTATTTATATCGAGTGGTCATAAAGTGTATTAAAGTATACATATGTGGGTTAAAATATGAAGGGTCGAAGCTGAACACACCATATTTAAACACTATTATGGCAAATAAAGGATATAAAGGATAGAGTAGAGAAGGAGCTGTGAAAATGTTATAAATTACAAATAAAAAATACCAAATCAATAAAATTCTTTTAAATTTTGGAGCTCAACTCTTTGTAATTTGCTGCACTTTAACAACTCTTTGGAAACTTCTCGGCATCGCTTCGTTTTCTATTATTTGGGGAAAATTTAGTTTATATTTCATGTTAGGTTTCAATAGCAAGTAGAAGAAGAAGAAGAAGAAAACACCACATTTACAATAGTAGTACTCATTCCATACTAATTTTTCTTCCTGTTTTTGTTGTAGTTGTTGTAGTTTCTGTAAAACTTCTAATCAGAATTGATGAATAATTTGCATATTTTTCCCGAAGGCATTTTCCCTTTTATTATTTTTATTATATGTACGCTGTACACTCTTTTTGGTTCTTGCTTTATTTTCATTTCCTTTGCTGAATTATTTTCTTATAGTTTTTGTACTTATTTTGTCTTATGTCTTTTGGGTGTTCTTTCGCTTTAAGTTTAGTTTAATACTGCGCTTGAAAAAACATTCGAAATTCCCAAAATCTCCAAAGTATGTCGTTCTTATCTGAAAAACTGGCAAAAATTTGAAATAGTAAAAAATATACCAGATACTACAT